TGCACACAACAGAAAGGCATGCAGTTCTGCCCTCCGCCTAATGTTACTCCCTTTGCAGTCCTCCTTCCCTTCCATTCTAGTTCCCATTCCACCATGTCTGTTCCCCAAGTGTCTCCTGCACATCTCCAACTGGATTCTGCAGATGCTTCAACACTACACAGAATGAACTCACCCACCCCACAAATGAGCATGCCTTTCCTTGTGTTCCCTACTTAGTAAATGGTAACCCCATGTTCCACCCAGCTGTCCATGCCATAACCAGTCATTTCTAATCTCTTCTCCCTTTGATCCAATATATTTGATTGACACAACTCACCTGCCTAAACACCTTTCAGATTCTCTACGGTGTCCATTCTCCCTGCTGTCACCTTAATCAGGCCTTCTACAACTCACTACCAGACTGTTATCCCTCCCTTCCTGCTGGCCACTCTCTTGCTGTGATCTGTGTGTTCAACTGACTCTCAGGGAGAACCTTTAAAAACACAGAAGGAAGAGGAAGGGAGACAAAAATCCGTATTTCTGGTGGCCAAATTAGCCCTTCTGAATGTAATTCTGAGGATGGGACCCATAAAGGTATTGTTTGTTTATTCGCTCTTTTTTTGTTTTTAGATGGGACAGGCAGCATTTGCAAACTACTGCTCCACTACCAAGCATCACCTCCCATCCTCTTCCCACAGCAAGGAGCAGTGGACTCACAATGGGCTTGGACCTTGTTATCTTCCCCTGCTTCTCAGGGCTTTACTCTTTCATTTCTTCCTAATCTTCAACGTCACACTCCCCAGTGTGTCCTTCCCAACAGCGTTAAAAATGACCTAAGTTTCCCTCAACTGAAGCTTTCCCTGTATCTACAGTCACCTCAAAGTACAACTCACTAGTCTGCCCCTCTTGACCTAATACATGAAAGGGCTCTTGAGCTCAGTGTCTCTTCTTTTTGTCCCACTCACTCCTTGATCAAACATCATCTCACTTATCTCCAAAACAACTGGACAAGCTGTTCTGGAAAGGTTCTGGGTGTGCCCTTTTCTTCTCAAAAGTCACTTTTCAGACTTTGTTTGAAAAGCATTTGCTGCATTTGTCTATTGTTCTAGTTTGCTTCTCTGTTGCTATGATAAAACACTGGTCAAAACCAATTTGGGGAAGGAAAGAGTTCACTTCAGCTTATACTACAGTCCATCATCAAGGGAAGCCAAGGCAGGAACCTGGAGGCAGAAACTAAAGCAGAGACCACAGAGGAACGCTGCTTCCTGGCTTGCTTCCCTTGGCTTTCTTTTCTTAGGCCCACCTGCCCAGGGATATCATTGCCACGGTGGGCTGGGCTTTCCTGCACCAATTAGAAAGAAAATGTCCCTCAGACATGCCCACAGGCCAGTCTGATGGAAGAAATTATTCAATTGATAACCCCTCTTCCCAGGTGACTCTAGTTTGTGTCAAGTTGACATAAACTAACCAGGACATCTAGTTATAGTTAGTTGTCCACAATTCTCTCCTTGGCATCTTCCCACTCCCTCAACCACGCCTCAGCTTGCTTCCCAGCTCTGCTGCTTCTCCTTCTTTAAATGTTAAAATGTCTACCCGTTCTGCCCCCAGTTCCTGTCATATCCCTGCCCTCTGATGATTTCACCTTAGGACTGCCCACTCTAACCATAATCAAAAACTCTCTAATTTTTCATTGCTTGCCTCTTTACCCCACTCTGCCAAGCTCAGCCTATTCTCCACTGTTATGCCTGACAAAGCCCTACCGCCCAAAAATCAGCTCAGGTGCTGGAGATAGTTCAGCAATTAAGAGCACTAACTGGTATTGCAGAGGACCAGGGTTCAGTTTCCAGCACCCACATGACAGCTAACAGCCATCTGTAACTCCAGTTCCAGGACCTCTTCTGGTCTCTGAAAGCATTACATGACACAGATATACTTACATACATACAGGCTCATATACATAAAACAATAAAAATTAGTTCACATATTGCCTGCACTAGGAAAATGTGTTAACAACTGCATCTCTTCCCCAACCAGACAATAAACCCACTGCACTGAACACAGGTGACCTTTTTTTTTTTCCTCCTCTAGACCCTGAAATCTTTGGGAACTATACCTGGAATTCATTAAACATGTAATTAGTGTTATGTTGAGTGCATTATTACAAAGGGAATATACTACAAAATGAGTAAAAGGAGTTATTTATTAATAAATGATTGCATGTATTATTCAATGTAGAGTTGAATGTCAGGACTGGTCTATATTTGAATTTTTTTAAAAAGAAATTTAAAATACATTATAAACACTATATGTACTTTTACCAAGTCACAACTGCACAACACAGAGCAATTCAATTTCAAAGAAATGGTCACAAATGCCCTTGTCCTCATTTCCTGCCCTGGCATCACAAGGCTTCTGTAGACCCTGCTAAGATGCTGCTGTACCTGCTCCAGTCTTTATGTGAGTCCCCCTTTCTTTGAATGATTTTTTCAACAAATTCTAGCATGGTTGGCTCTTTCATCACCTTCCCAGACTTCTTCCCTGACCACAGCAGCACTCCACCACCACTCCAATCTCTGCCATCATCCATTGGCATGCCTCTAGTTGAAAGCACTTTATTTATTAACTTATGTGATGACTCCTTCACTTTGTTTACTTTTATTCCCTATACTTAAACCATGTGTGGCTTCAATGGGCACGCAACTGACACCTGTTGAATGAGTAAATGTATGAATGAATGAATTACAGAAAAGGAAAAAAAGAAAAGGTTTAACTCTAAAGCACCAAAAATCTACTAGCCAAAAATGCAGGAAATATGCAGGTGTAAGAAATGGCAGTGATTTCTCTCTCAGTTCATTCCCCACCCCTAGGGCAAGGATAGGCAGATAAACCTATTATCCTTCCTTGAATACTCAAGAGCAGACTTTGACTTAACCAAAGACTTATACAACTTCTTATCTTAAGGAGATGACCCGGTGGGTAGCTTTGCCAGAGTAAAACTTTTTTAAAAGCAGGATAAGTCACTAACATTCATACTTGCCAAATGACCAGTCCAGAAAAAACTAGGGCTAAACTGCACTGTAAATACCAAACACTGAACCCAAAAGTTTTCATCATAGTACATGCCCCAATGTTTGTTAAATGAACACATCAAATATGACTAAGAGGAAAAGCCATTTCATCAACTCTTACACTGTGGACACACTTAAGAGAGCTGAGGAGGGACCTATGACAACAATTTGGCTCCTAGAATCCAACATTCATCTACTGTGCCATAGGTAGATAATAATAAATTATTACCTTCCCCAGAGTTGTGCTATATCAAACTTGACTACATTCTGCCCATACAACCTAATCCCTAATATGGTAATGCAACTAATAGCATATTTCTTCTCCCTTTGTGTGTATGTATTTTATGCATGTGCATCCATGTGTATGAGTGCTCATCCAAGGGTACGTGTGGAAGCCAGGGGTTGATGATAGTATGTCTTCCTCAATCCTTCTTCTGCTCTGTTTTTTTGAGACAGGGTCTCCCATTGGACCTGGAGCTCACCGGTCTGGCTAGACTGGCTGGCTAACAATCCCCTGGGAATCACCTGTCTCCATCTCTCTAGAGGTGCTGGGGTTACAGATACGCACTACAATGCTTGGCTTTTAAACATGGGTAGTAGGAATTAGAACTCAGGTCCTCATACTCACATTGCAAGTACTTTACTCACTTAGCCATCTTTCCAACCCCCATTCTTTAGCAAAGATAGCTCAAAGACTGAATGAACAACTAAAATCAAAGAAATCTGTTAATTTATCCATTCACACATTGTAATCCCAGGAAAACCACACCACCTTAATAGCTTCAATAGCTATATTCAACCAAAGGGTAATTTGAGGATAAAGATTAATTCACTAGTAGTCGTGATGGATTCTGGAGTCAAAGTGTGAAAGAGTCCATAAATTAAATTAGTTTTCGAAATAAGGGAGATCATAAATATTAAACCTACTTCAAAACCTGAGAAGTTGAGAATATGGAAAATTTAAAAGTATACCAGTGTCTCTGACAGTAATTTACTCTCAGATGAAGTAAGAAGCATATTCTGGGGAAGATTCATGACATTCACAAGAGTTTACTATTTGGAAGTGTCAGGCATTTCTGTGTTCTGGCATCATCAACATACAGAGACGGGAAGTACTAACAGTGATAAGTAACTACAAATTATAATATCTGTTCAAACAGTTCGCTGCTGGTTTATCAGTGCCTAATCTCGGCGCTGTTTCGATAATTGAGTTCTTTAGGTCTAAAGTCAATTCAATACAATGCCTTGAGAAAAAGTTGTTTCATGGGCTGAATTCACTGCTCCGCCCTCTACCTGCGGACCACCATTGACATTCCAATCAAACACAGCAACATCCAGAAGCAGGGTGTGCGCTTTCTCCAAATGACTTCCTAACTTTAAAGCACTTGCGTTAGGTTTCTGTTCGTCTATGAACTCTTCAGGGGCAATAGAGAAGAAATGCATGTAAGTAAAACTGAGAAGTGAGCTCCTGAAATGCATGCATACTTTATATGAGTCTGTTCCGTCCCAAAGCAGGCCAGATGAATGGGGAATGGGGAAAGGGAACCGGGAAGGATTCCAGCGTCGCCTCCACAGGGACAACCTCTTCTTGCAGCCTGGCACTTACACCGCAAAGGACAAGGGCCCGAGCCACGAGCTCACTGGGGCGCCCAGCGGAACCCTAACTGCCCAGCCCACCCACAGCAGCCGCGAAGCTGCTGCGCATCGCACCAGGTGAGGCGCCAGGCAAGCGAGTGACTGGACGGGGCGCCCACTCGTCTCCCAGGACTGAAGTGGGGTGGCCCGCTGGAGCACCCCAAGTGCAGGAACTATATCAAGGGAAGGGAGCGGGGAGCCAAGGCTGCACCCCCAACCTCCTGCAAACCCCCGAGTCTTCGCTGTCCCCGAGTCGCGACAGGGAAGTGCCCAGGATGGCGCGAAAGGGACCACAACGATGGTGAGGTCGATACTCACAAAGCCCGCTGGAGCCCGTGCTGGTGAACATGGTCCCGCTGGGCCCGAGCCCCTGTGGGGCGTCAGGGGGAGTGGAAGCGGAGGTGAAAACCCCTCAGCGACCGACCGCGCAGGCGCACTCCCAGCAAGGAAGCGAAGTCGGCCCCGCGAGGTGCAGCCCGGTTGCCCGGCGGAAGGCGCATGCGCGGCCCGTGGAGCATGCACGCTCGGCCGGAGCCCTCCCTTCCGTTTGGAACAGGAAGTGCGTCCGCAATGGGCGGGTCCGCTGCTTCCAGAGCTTTCGACGACTGGGGCTGCTTTGGGAAAAGGAATTAGGTGACGTAAGAGGCTCAGCGCTGTTGCTCCGGGCCGAGGCGGCAGCCGACTTCCTTCCAGTGTCAGCGCTGGGCTTTTCTCGGACCCGACCTCTCCCGGAGACTCAGCTCACGTATCCTCAGTATTTCCGCGCAGGCCACGAAGCTTGCTGAACCTAGGCCACACAGAACCGTTTCAGCTTCCGGTGACCCTCCAAGTCCCAGAGATCCGAGGGATGGTGGTGGAAGAACAGCTAGTGCTTTCTGCCCTTCCGGTCACCGGGAGTGGGGCCATCCAACTGACTTCAGTTTTGCCCAAGACCTTGCCATCTTATTTTTACAAACTTTGCTGAACATAGTTACTGATTGCCAGAGTCACAGTTTTTCTTTTTAAAAAAAATATTTTTATTTTATGTGTATGCGTGTATTGTCTGCACGTGTGTAAGTGTACTCATGTTGTGTAGTGCCAGAGGAAGTCAGAAGCAGGTGTCAGATCCCCTAAACTGGAGTTCAGACGGTTGTTAGCTGTCATGTGTGTGCTGGGAATCTAACCGGAGTTCTCTGGACTGATGATCTTAACCTCTTAGCCATCTCTCCAGAACCGCACACCCCACACCCCACCCCCAGTTCTTCAAATGTATGTGAGCCTGAAAACTTAGGCGGTTGTTTACAGAGTTCTTAATATAAACAATAGAGAAATTTACCACATTATACGGCTAAATGAAAGGGACATGCCACAGAAGTATGTACAGTATCTTTTGTTGTTTTTTAAATCTTGAAAACTGGGCTGCAGAGCTGGCTCAGTGGTTTAAAAGACTGGCTGCGTTCCAGCACCCACATCAGGGGGCATACAGCTGCCTGTAACTCCAGCTCAAGGTGATCTGATGCCCTCTTCCGGCTGTCTCGGGCACCAGGACACATATGCATATACACATAAGTAAAAATAATATATATTTTTAAATTTTTGTCTTTTTTTGAGAGACAATCTCCTTGTAGTCCCAACAGGCCTAGAACTTTCTATGGAAGACCAGGCTGGTCTCAATCTCACAGCAATGTGCCTACCTCTGCTTCCCAAGTGCTGGGATTAAAGACTTGTGTCACCACACCAATATTTTTTTTCATCTTGAGAACCTGTAAGCATTGGCCAGTGTGCTAAATCTGGGGTTACCTCAGTAAAATAGTTCAATGGATCCTAACATTCTGGTTATTCTAGAATGTAAAAATGTGATTTTTCTTTTAGTCTTTATTTGTAGTTGGTTTGTGAGTATGAAATACATTTAACCTTTACGTTCATCCAGTTGATTTACTTGATAGTAGGAAGGTCAGTGATGTTTGCAGAAGGTGTTATCTGCAAAATTTGTACCTAACATAAAGTGATTCTCAGTGTTAGGAAGGCATCAGGGGTCCATTTAGGGTGTTCAAAAGATGCTAAAACATTTTTCTTTACATTCTTATTCATTCGTGAGTATGTAGTAGAGTTTTCCACTGTGCCTTTTGGAAAAACTGCAAAACTTTGTGAACCAGTGTTTTCTAGTTGACCAGTGCCTTATGAAATTATGAACAAGCAATTCAAACTGCAAAACAGACAATATATGTTAGTTTATAGAGTACAAAATGGCAGATCCCTCATTGCAACTAATCTTGAAGAAACTATCGTGTAAATTACGGTATTGTTCCCAGCACCCACATAGTAGCTAATAACCTTCTGCAACTCCAGTTCCAGGGGCTCTGACACCCTCTTGACCTCCAAAGGCATACTGACGTGGGTATACTTACATACATGCAGGCATAACACTCATACACATAAAAATATTTTTAAAAATTACATGGTATTGCATTTTTTAAAAGATGATTAATCTAAAAGTTAATTAAAATGTTTGCTTTTCCAACTCTACTTCAGGTGAGCTTTACTTTATGTACTTCAGTCAAATCAATTTTTGTCTTTTTTTGACAGAAGCAATGTATCATAAACAAGCCAGACATTAAAGGTATTTGAGAAAATGTATAAAGATACTCTTTCTTATAATTGTTTGCCTAGGAAAATACCATGGTATCAAAGCTGGTGGTTTTTGTTTCTTTTTCTGAAATAGGGTCTCTCTAGGTAGCCCTGGTTGACCTGGAACTCGCTAGCCCAGCTTGGCTTCAAACACAGGAGATCTGCATGCCTCTGACTTTTCAGAGGATTAAAGGCAGGTGCTGCCATCAGACATTTTTTTTTCCTAGTTTATATAAGAGATGAACCCACCATTATTAAAAAGAGTTCACAGAGATAGTTTAGAGATTAGGGAAATCTTGAAAATCATACTATTGCTTCTGAAATTTGAAGTTCAGTCTGATAAATATAAGGTCCTATTTCTTACAGGGTAGTACAAATAACAATTTGTGGTAATCTAAATAATAACTGTATAAGAAGTCATCAAAAGAAATTAAAATAATTTCTTCATTCTATTGAACAGTTACATATTTAGAAGGATCTGTGTAACTGCAGTCAGAATTTTTGTTGCAGTTGAATGTGTGACTAGTATTATATTGAAACTTGTTAATCATAAATGTGTGATTCATAGAGAATGAAAACACTGAGTGGAAATTTTTATTTCCAACAAACAATGGAATTCTCAAACTTTGAAACTCTTGAAAAAGTATTCCACAGGAAATGCTGTTTTTCCTTTTCCAATGTCATTGTGCAACAAAACAGCAGTTATGGTCAACCAATCATGTGGTTTATAAACAAGTGACAAGTAGGAATAGCAAGTGAGCAGATTACTGAATTAGTGACTGGTAAACTCAGTCAACAAAAACCTTACTGAAAAACCCACAAATCAATGAATACTACCAGTGCTCTTAATAAAGTTTATTCTTTGAATAAAAGATTATTTTATGAAAAGAAGTCTGCCTTACCCTATCTAGGACATAGGATAGCATTTCCAAAGAAAATTGTTTTTAAAAATTTATGTGTTAACACCTATGCATACTTTTGTTTCTGTAAGTGAGAAAGTGATATCAAAATATGAGACAATTGTTGCTGGAAAGATGGCTCAGTACTTAAGAGCACCTGCTGCTTTTGGAGGGGGACCACAGTTCAGTTTCTAGCACCCATTTCAGGGCGGCTCACAACTGCCTGTAACTCCACCTCCAGCCCTTGGGGATCCAACTCCCTCTTCTGACCTCCTCTGGCACCTACCCTCAACATGCACATACACATACACATAAATAAAAAATATTTTACCACAAAAAAAGAATGTTTCTTAAAAAAGAACAAAAAACGAGACGGGCTGGAGAGATGCTTTAGCAGTTACGAGCACTGACTGCTCTTACAAAAGACCCAGGTTTGATTTCTCAGCACCCAAATGGCAGCTAACAACTGTCTGTAACTGCAGTTCCCAGGAATCTGATGCCACCTTCTGACCTCTGCAGACATTGCACAACACAGGTGCACTTACATACATGCAGGCAATACACTCATACGCATAATTTTTTTTTAAATGAGACAACTGGACTTACATTTTACATATATCAGACATGTTGAATGAAGTTATTAAGCTACAGGCAAGATTGATGTTATTAAAGAAGAGAAATTATAACATTTTTCCATGAGTTTAATCATTTTAGGATGAATATTTCTTGCCCAGAATTTTCAGTTCCTAACTATAGCAGATAAGGCTAGTTGAGAGGATAATGGCTTGGAGCTACACTGTTAAATTTTTCAAAGATTTATTTTATGTGTGTGTTTGCCTTCGTGTATGTATATATACCATGTGCATTCCTGTCCTGCTGAGGCCAAAAAGGATATTAAATCCCCTGCAACTGGAGTTACAGGCAGTTATAAGCTGCCATGTGGGTTCTAGGAACTGAACCCAGGTCCTCTGGAAGAGCATCAAGTGCTCTTAACTCCCGAGTCACCTCTCCAGCCATATAGATTGCTAATTTTAAGGCTACTTTAAAAAGTGGTAAAATCTAAAACTCAAGTATGGATTTATAATACAGGACTAGGCAATTAACCAATTCAGAAAAAGATGTAACATATTGCTGATTAGCTAATGTTTGAAGGAAATGTTTTGTTTGGGTTTGGGTTTTTGGGGGGGCCGGGGTAGCCCTAGCTAGTCTAGAACTCACTGTGTAAACCAGGCTGGGCTGGATCTCACAGAGCTCCACCTACCTCTGCCTCCTGAGTAGTGGGATTAAAGATGAGCACCACCACACCCGGCCTGAAATGTAGGTTTCTTTTTCGTTCTTTCTAAACTAGGTACTATGTGCCCAGATAAAATACTACCTCTGTTATTAGTAAGGAATGGTAGGAGGTGTATTGGAGGCATAACTCAGTAGTAATGCACTTGCCTAGCTTGCTTTGGGTTCCAGCATGAACAAGAGGAGGGGGAGGGGAGGAGGAGGAAGAGGAAGAGGAGAAGGGGGAGGGGAGGAGGGGGAAGAGAAGAAG